GAACTGTGTGCAGTTAATAATGAGAAAATAGTTCGTGACAAATGAAACATAACGTGTATCATTCTAATTTTTATGATGATTGTGGATTATATGTATAATTTTCCAATTTTTGTTTGCAATTTATTTGTTGATCCAAAAGGTGGAATCTCCCACACCCCACGCCCCGACCCGACATGGCACATGGGAAGATGTAAATGACGATGACTCAATTGACGGAGTGGCAATAAGCTCATATATCTGTGCGTGCCAGAGGCCCAACCAATTTCAGAGGTTGTGATCTCCACGCGATCGCTGCAAACCATTGTTCATTTGTTTGTAATTTTTTTAATTTAGGATGGGGTGGTAGTTTTTCTTTTGGGGGATGGTCTGATGTTCTGAATTTCTGATGAATCTTTTGGCTTGTTGCTTAATTTGTTAAAACCCAAGAGATTGCATCCTTGCATGGCATATAGTCAGAGAGACAGTAAATGTATTGTATGAAGAGTGCCACTTGAGCTCTTTCATTGCAAATTTAGCAGTAGGAGAAGGACAATGATAGATGTAGTACACTTTCATGCTACAATATCATCTTGTAGTTGACCATTCATGTCACCATCAAATAATAAAAAGCTTCTCCCCGGTGATCCATGTACAGCTAAATGTAGAGATGAATTTAATTAATTGAGATCCGATTCTGTGTACGGGTTGAGTTGGGCCTGATCAAGCTGGTCAAATCTAACAGCCTAGAAGAGGCACTAATCAATAATCCTTTCAAAAGAAATAAAAGAAGATGATACCACATCTCAGGTTCTCAAATCCCCCAACACCAATCAGTCACTTAAGTGGATGATCTAAATTGAGTTTTAATAATAAGCTGATAGATAGCGAGTGGGGTTCTGGTCTTGGTACTTGCTTTGAAGAGATACTATGCATTTTTACGCAGTAATCTCTCATCGCAGTTGTCGGAAATCGAACCCGAGAATTACCCCTCCTGACACTCCCTATCCTTTCAAAAGAATATTTACAACAACCATAACAACATTACTCTAGTGAGAAGCCTTACCCAAGTGGTACCTACGATGGTCACTGGGTCAAGGGAGGATCAGAAAGACGCAACCTTATCCCTGTATCAAGGACGTTGTAACACCGTCCCCAAATGTATTTACTTTCAAGTAAATGATGTAATAAACCTTATGGAATGATTTACGAATTTACGAAGTTGTAAATTTTTATTATTCTTTCGCGTGAATAGTAAATTGCACGTGGGGCCCACACCGGGAGCGGGGGCCGCCCGACACTCCCGAGACCACATATTTTATTCATCTTGGTCAAGATAATATTTATATAGTGGTGGACATTTCGTTTGAGTCGTGGAAAGGCGCAGAGTTGACCGATTGGGGAAAAAGAGACCCAATTACCGGTACCGACAATTTAACAGATAACAGCCCGAAAATGAATTTCGGAGGCTTATAAATTAAAGTTGGGGAATGTACATTCATTATACATGTCATAATGAGTAAGAGCACATAATATATTTTATTTGAACCGATAAAATAAAATATATTTAAAGCAGTCCGAAAAATACAACTTTCGGGACAAATTGTACACTTCGGGACAAAAAGGGTTGACCTCCCACATGAGTGGGGGCCAACCCACGATTTTTGCCACTCAAATTGAGGGCTGGGTCGGTTGGCATAGAGAGGAGAAACATGGGGGATGGTGATGTGATCCTTTTAGCATCAAACAAAGAGGAGGTGGCCCCATCCACACTCATTTGCTCTATGAGACAAATGAGTATACCTCACCCCTTCCCCTCCCTCATTTTCGGCCAAGGAGAACCAGGGAGAGCAAGAAAATCCACCCAACCTCCTTCCTCCATTGTTGAAGAAAGCTCATCAAAGAGGAATCACCCAAAAAGGAGCTAAAGTGCTAAAAGTGTGAAATAATTAAGGTAATGACCTTATTATAACTTTTTCTTTATTTTTCTTCTACCATATGAGATATATATCATGTGAAGAATCCTTAAGAGGGTTCTACATGTTATAAGTATGGATTAATGGGTTGGAAAGTGATTCTATGTCCAAGAACGGACTTAGAAGCCAAAACGACCGGTTCACCGGAAAATAACCTTTTTGAGGTTATTTGTATTAATATGGGTTTTATGATTATAAAACCTTGTTAGGGACTTGTAAAGGGTATTTCAAGTGATTTCACAAAGTTGGAAAAGTCGCCGGAGTAGTCGCCGGAGTTGACCAAAAGTCGCCGGAGTTTCACCGGAGTTCAACCAAGAAGGGTAAAACTTCAAAACGCTAGCTCAAGGTGAGTGGACGGCTTAATATCTTATAACTTTTGGGTTAATTATGAGATTACCTAAATAAATGTTATATGTTTTCATAATGATGTTTAAAAGATAATTAAACATGTGATTAGCCAACATTATCAAGTTGTATGAAAAGAATTAATTGATTATGCATGAAATATGATATGAGAGATTATATAAAATGCACATTAGCTTGAAGTGTAAAAGAAGCTCAAATGAGTATTATTGACTTAATTATATGATGATTAAGTTGATGTGAACAAGGCTTGAATTGGCGGTCAACGACAACGTTGACCGATGGATGATGGATTAATTAATATCGGTTGATGTTAGTTAATTATACATTTATTTAAATGCATGGCTTTGCATGGATTGTGATACATAAGATTTATGTATTGGATTAGTTATGAGTAACTAAGGATGATATAGACTCTATCTAGGTTGATAGGAGGTTGATCATAGGAAAACTTGGTGGAGGACCCTAGTACTTAAAAAGTACTTAACACTCAAACTTGGTGGAGGACCCTAGTACTTAAAAGTACTTAACACTCAAAACTTGGTGGAGGACCCTAGTACTTAAAAAGTACTTAACACTCAAACTTGGTGGAGGACCCTAGTACTTAAAAAGTACTTAACACTCAAAACTTGGTGGAGGACCCTAGGACTTAAAGTCCTTAACACTCAAACTTGGTGGAGGACCCTAGTACTTAAAAAGTACTTAACACTCAAAACTTGGTGGAGGACCCTAGGACTTAAAGTCCTTAACACTCAAACTTGGTGGAGGACCCTAGTACTTAAAAGTACTTAACACTCAAAACTTGGTGGAGGACCCTAGGACTTAAAAGTCCTTAACACTCAAACTTGGTGGAGGACCCTAGTACTTAAAAGTACTTAACACTCAAACTTGGTGGAGGACCCTAGGACTTATGAGTCCTTAACACTCACAAACCGGTGGAGTATCCAAGGATTATGATCCTAAAACTCATAGATTGTGATATACAAGTAGGGACAAGGAGGAGTCCTATACACTCATAGGTATATGGGTGGGTTGGGGTTTTTAGTCAAGAATATTGACTATTACTATTTTCCCGAATAAAATGGTGATCTACGGATCGGATATTTTCCAAGTATATATATACTAATAAGTATTTCATAACTTGGGGGAAAGATTATTTATTTAAGTATCACCCTATGTTTGGGTCTTATACTTGAAACGCTAGTTATTCTATATTTAGCCTGCTACTCGCTCGGTACTTGTACTGACCCCTTCGGGGGGCCCCACCATTTTCAGGTTGAAGCTAGAGCTTGCTACTTGCACCTTCTCACGGGTGATATCAAACCAGGGAGACGTGGTTCGTGCTTCCTTATTTTCTTTCAAACTACCGAACACTTGCTCATGGATATTTGTTTTACTACAAACTATTTTTGGGGCTTGCATGCCCATGTTGTCGGCCGGTTGTGGCCCATGACTTACCGTTGAATATTTCCGCTATTCATTGGTTTAATGTGATGTTGTTATGTATGTTTACTACTGAGTATGGATGGATTGTTTTCTCGAACGCCTTGTGTAATTAAGTGAGGTTGACCCGTGGGTGACGTCACTTAGTTATACGGCGGTTGTACACGCGCTTGGATTGCGGTCTGGGGCGTGACAATTAAGTGGTATCAGATCCATCTCAGTTCTAAACTATATAATCAACCTCTCACAAAAGAATTTGCAAAAGAGTTTTTACCGAAAACCATGAGCATTGTATTTTGACGTTTATAGGACTATTGGTGCTTAAGTTGCAAGGCCTCTAATTGTTAAGACGGTACCCTTAACAATTGGTATGGTAGTGACTTGGGCCAATACGTGTCTGTAACGTTCTTCCGTCAGTTGACATTTATAGGAGTCTAATGGCTCATCCATATTTCTTTCAGAAATAGAGGGCAGGCGAATGAGGACCAGGAACAATCCGAGGGGGCAGGCGCCGGTAGTATCCCAAAGGGGAAGCCGGGCTGCATCTCGGGGTTCGAGAGGAGGCCGTGGAGGCCGTGGAAGCCGTGGAGGTCATCAAGCTCAATCTGTGAGTGATGGCCATGTAAGCTCGGTGTATGAAACCAACACCGAGGACTATGACTCAACCTACGTTCCAGAAACGGAGCATGAGGAGACCCCGTATGATGGGGGGGACACATACACCGATGATGACGATGAGAGTGATGCCCGATTCGCCCAGATGGGTGAATTACTTGAGTGGTATCAAAAGGAGAAACTGAGGAGAGACCTTAGGCGCCAAGCGAGGCGTGGCTCTCGTGGTGGTTCGGGTCAAGGAAGCCGGGGAGCTTCCGTGGCCACCCCAGCGGCGTCACAAGGTGGGCGTGAAGGAGGTTTTGTTGTGAGAATCTCCAAGTACCTCAAGGAGGCTAGGGCCTTGGGGTGTAGGTCCTTTGACGGCACCGGTGACATTACCGTTGCCGCCGATTGGATTAAGAAGGTGAAGGATGCATCAAGAGACATGCAAATCACACCGGACGTGAAGTTGACTGTCGCTTCACGGCTACTTGAAGGGATAGCTTCTACGTGGTGGGAGAGCGTGGAAGGGAAGTACCATGGGGAAATAACATGGGCGGACTTTGAGCTAGAGTTCTATGCTCAATACTACTCCGAGTACGAGGTGAATGTGAAACGGAGAGAGTACACTAACCTCAAACAGAAAGAGGGCGGCACAGTTAAGCAACTGGAACAAGAGTTTAGAACCTTGGCTAGGTTCTTGCCGGAGTACGCGGTTGATGAGAACCGCATGACGGAGCACTTTTGGGATGCCCTACTCTTGGACATCCGTGACCGAGCTACGTACTCGCGCCACATGACCTTCAGTGAGGTGGTGGAGCAGGGCCTTCTCGGGGAGGCCCAATGGAATGAGAGAAAAGAGAGAGACGCCGAGGAGGCGAAAAAGAGGAAATGGCAAAGTTCGGGGCCGCCCGAGCAAGCACGAAAGGATAAGCACGGTGGAGGTGGCGGTTCGTTCAAGACACCGGCACCACCGGCAAAGAAGAACAGGGATGCTCGGTGGCATGCATCCTCCTCACAAAGGACGGGGCCTCCAAAGTGTGCCAATTGTTCGAAAAATCATTTTGGGAAGTGCAATGCACCCCCAAGGTGTTATCGATGCGGGAACACGGGCCACATGAAGGCAAATTGCCCACAATTAGGGGGGGGAGGAGCTTCGGGATCCGGAGGAGGAACCATGACGGGAAGAAACCGTGCGGGACCGTCAAACGGCGGTACGGGAAGAGGCGGCGCGTCCACAAGCCATGCCGCGTCCGTAAATCAAGGCGGGACCCAAGCACGAGTGTACGCAATGACCGAGGCGGATGCGCGAGCAAACCCGGACTCCGTTGCAGGTAATACACTTATTTTCCTATATTTCTAGGCTTATTTGGGTCATATGAGTCATTGGGTTTGGGTGCGGGCCACCCCGGGGTCAAGCCCCGCGAATTCGGGGCGAAACGGGCTAAAAAACAACTACGCGCGATCGCGCGTACCTACAGACGCACGACCGTGCGTGCGAGGCAGTAGCCTCTGGCCGTTTTCCGCGCAGACGCACGCCGTGCGTGCAGGTAAGGCACGCCGTGCGTAGGACGCACGATCGTGCGTGACCAGCTACGCACGATCGTGCGTAGCCGGCAGTGGCGGATTCCGGGTTTCTCACGCACGCACGACCGTGCGTGCCACCCAGGCACGCCGTGCGTGGACCCCAGGCACCCGAAAATTGATTTTTCGCCCCGTTCTTCTACGTTTGGACCCCCGTTTGATTCCAAACATTAGTATGAACCAAATAACATCCTAATGATGTGTAAAAACCTTAGAAAATGTATCTTACATGGTGTACAAATGTAGGAACATTAAAGATCAATGGTAGGTGTGCGAGGATCCTCATCGATACCGGGGCACAACGCTCATTTGTGAGTGAGGCGTTCGCCGAGGGCCTTGACGTGCCATTGACACCTATGACGCAAACATTGCTAGTCTCCACACCGTTAGGAGACGACGTGGAGAGAAATCATTACTATCCGTCGTGCGAGGTGGAAGTGACGGGTCAACCTTTGACTTGTGATTTCGTACCTCTAAGCATGTTGGAGTTCGATGCAATCCTAGGAATGGATTGGCTCGAGAAACACCATGCTCGAGTAGATTGCTACACCAAGGTGTTGGAGCTCGAGGATGATCAAGGAAACACACTATGTTTCGAGGGAGATCGGGGGAAATCTAATGCTTGTATAATATCCGTGATGAGAGCACGGAAGATGATGAGGAAGGGATGCCACGCATACCTTGCCTACGTGGTGGACGATACCAAGAAGGAAGTCGACATCAAAGATGTACGGGTCGTGTGCAAATACCCGGATGTCTTTCCCAAAGACCTACCGGGGCTCCCACCCGATAGAGAGATAGAGTTTGTAATCGAAGTGGAGCCGGGAACCAAACCCATTTCGATTCCCCCTTATCGAATGGCACCGGCCGAACTCCAAGAGTTGAAGGTCCAACTACAAGAATTACTGGACAACGGGTTCATCAGACCCAGTCATTCACCGTGGGGGGCACCCGTACTCTTCGTGAAGAAGAAGGATGGTACACTAAGAATGTGTATTGACTACCGACAGTTGAACAAGGTCACAATCAAGAACAGGTATCCCTTACCGAGGATTGATGACTTGTTTGATCAACTTCGGGGGGCAATAGTGTTCTCAAAGATTGATTTGAGGTCGGGGTATCATCAGTTGAAGATCAAGGAGAGCGACATACCTAAGAGTGCATTCCGCACTAGGTATGGTCATTACGAATTCCTTGTGATGTCATTTGGTTTAACCAACGCACCGGCAGCATTCATGGACTTGATGAACCGTGTGTTTAGTGAATACTTAGATCAATTTGTGATAGTATTCATTGATGATATCTTGATATATTCCAAGAGCGAGGAGGAGCACGAACATCATTTGAGGCTTATACTTGACCGGCTAAGGGAAAAGCAGCTCTTTGCCAAGTTCTCTAAATGCGAATTTTGGCTTAAGGAGATTGGGTTCCTTGGTCACGTCATATCCGGTTCGGGCGTTGCTGTGGATAACGCCAAGATAAAGGCTATCATGGATTGGGAGAGACCCAAGAATGTGAAAGAGATACGTAGTTTCCTTGGCTTAGCAGGATACTATCGTAAATTTGTTGAAAAATTTTCTGTATTGGCGTCTCCATTAACGAAGCTCACAAAGAAAGGGGCCAAGTTCATATGGGACGACAAGTGTGAGAAAGGGTTCCTTGAACTGAAGAAACGACTTACCGAAGCACCAGTCCTTGCCCTACCCATACAAGGGATAGGGTATGATATATACAGTGATGCTAGCATCCAAGGGCTTGGATGTGTACTGATGCAAAACGGTAAAGTGATTGCCTATGCTTCAAGGCAATTGAGAAAGCACGAGGTGAACTACCCTACCCATGACCTAGAATTGGGGGCGGTAGTGTTTGCACTGAAAATCTGGAGGCATTATCTCTACGGGGAGACATGTCACATTTTTACAGACCATAAGAGCTTGAAGTACGTATTCACTCAGAAAGAGTTGAATATGAGACAGAGGAGATGGATGGAGTTGATCAAGGACTATGACTTGATCATCGATTACCATCCAGGAAAGGCCAACGTCGTGGCCGACGCACTGAGCAGAAAGAGTACGTCGGGGACGCTACTCACATGCCTACAGGCATTGAGGGCGCGCGTGGAGGTGTCCACGTGCGGGGCTCTCATTGCTCGATTCGAGGTTAGGCCCACCCTATTGGGCGAGATTAGTCGAAGTCAGGCCATTGATGAGGAATGTCAGAAAATCCGCGAACGGATCCTTGAGGGGCCCGTCGAGAATTTTCGGGTACGTGATGACGGTCTTTTACTATTTAAGGATCGTGTGTGCATACCAAAGAATGAGGAGCTCCAGAGAGCTATACTTGAGGAGGCTCATTCTTCAGCATATGCCATGCATCCAGGGGGTACTAAGATGTACCGAGATCTGAAGGAAAGTTACTGGTGGTCAGGCATGAAAAAGGATATTGCAGAGTTTGTGAGTCGATGCCTTACTTGCCAGCAAGTTAAGGCAGAGCATCAGCACCCAGCAGGGCTCTTACAACCACTCACCATCCCAGAGTGGAAGTGGGAACATGTGACCATGGACTTCGTGGTGGGGCTGCCACGAACAGTGAACAACTACGATGCAGTATGGGTAGTGGTTGATAGGCTCACCAAGAGTGCACACTTTCTGCCTATCAACATTACTTATCCCCTTGAAAGATTGGCCAAGCTATACACGGAGGAGATCGTGAGATTGCATGGAGTCCCAATATCCATTGTCTCGGATAGGGATCCACGATTCACATCCCGATTTTGGCCAAAGTTTCAAGCATCTTTGGGGACTAAACTGAAGTTTAGCACAGCTTTTCACCCACAGACGGATGGACAGTCCGAGCGGGTGATACAGATTCTGGAAGACATGCTTAGGGCATGTGCTTTGGAGTTCCAAGGAAGTTGGGACAAGCATTTGGCTCTAGTGGAGTTTGCTTATAACAACAGTTATCAAGCAAGTATCGGCATGCCTCCATATGAAGCATTGTATGGGAGGAAATGCAGAACACCGTTGTGTTGGGACGAGGTTGGCGAGGCCAAACTCGAAGGGATAGAACTGGTTGAGATCACCAAGGCCAAGGTAAGGATCATTCGGGATAGACTGAAGGCCGCTCAGGACCGACAGAAGAGTTATGCTGACAAACGGCGGAGACCGTTGGAGTTCGAGGTCGGTGATGAGGTTTTTCTAAGGATTTCTCCTTGGAAGGGCATCATCCGATTTGTATCGAGGGGGAAGCTTAATCCCCGATACATTGGTCCATTTGAAATCCTTGAAAGGATTGGAGCTGTGGCTTATCGTCTCAAGTTGACACCAGAGCTTGAGAAGATACATGACGTGTTTCATGTATCGATGCTCAAGAAGTACATACGAGACCCATCTCATATTCTTGAGAAACCACCGGTAGAGATCCGTGAGGATTTGCAATATGCGGTAGAGCCGGTGAAGATAGTAGGTCAACAAGTGAAGAAGCTTAGGAATAAGGAGATTCCTATGGTAAAGGTTCTTTGGCGGAGTGATCGAGTCGAAGAAGAAACTTGGGAGACCGAAGTCTCAATGAGGGAGCAATACCCGTTTCTTTTCGATTAGACACACGGATTTCGGGGACGAAATCCCAAACAAGGGGGGGTGAACTTGTAACACCGTCCCCAAATGTATTTACTTTCAAGTAAATGATGTAATAAACCTTATGGAATGATTTACGAATTTACGAAGTTGTAAATTTTTATTATTCTTTCGCGTGAATAGTAAATTGCACGTGGGGCCCACACCGGGAGCGGGGGCCGCCCGACACTCCCGAGACCACATATTTTATTCATCTTGGTCAAGATAATATTTATATAGTGGTGGACATTTCGTTTGAGTCGTGGAAAGGCGCAGAGTTGACCGATTGGGGAAAAAGAGACCCAATTACCGGTACCGACAATTTAACAGATAACAGCCCGAAAATGAATTTCGGAGGCTTATAAATTAAAGTTGGGGAATGTACATTCATTATACATGTCATAATGAGTAAGAGCACATAATATATTTTATTTGAACCGATAAAATAAAATATATTTAAAGCAGTCCGAAAAATACAACTTTCGGGACAAATTGTACACTTCGGGACAAAAAGGGTTGACCTCCCACATGAGTGGGGGCCAACCCACGATTTTTGCCACTCAAATTGAGGGCTGGGTCGGTTGGCATAGAGAGGAGAAACATGGGGGATGGTGATGTGATCCTTTTAGCATCAAACAAAGAGGAGGTGGCCCCATCCACACTCATTTGCTCTATGAGACAAATGAGTATACCTCACCCCTTCCCCTCCCTCATTTTCGGCCAAGGAGAACCAGGGAGAGCAAGAAAATCCACCCAACCTCCTTCCTCCATTGTTGAAGAAAGCTCATCAAAGAGGAATCACCCAAAAAGGAGCTAAAGTGCTAAAAGTGTGAAATAATTAAGGTAATGACCTTATTATAACTTTTTCTTTATTTTTCTTCTACCATATGAGATATATATCATGTGAAGAATCCTTAAGAGGGTTCTACATGTTATAAGTATGGATTAATGGGTTGGAAAGTGATTCTATGTCCAAGAACGGACTTAGAAGCCAAAACGACCGGTTCACCGGAAAATAACCTTTTTGAGGTTATTTGTATTAATATGGGTTTTATGATTATAAAACCTTGTTAGGGACTTGTAAAGGGTATTTCAAGTGATTTCACAAAGTTGGAAAAGTCGCCGGAGTAGTCGCCGGAGTTGACCAAAAGTCGCCGGAGTTTCACCGGAGTTCAACCAAGAAGGGTAAAACTTCAAAACGCTAGCTCAAGGTGAGTGGACGGCTTAATATCTTATAACTTTTGGGTTAATTATGAGATTACCTAAATAAATGTTATATGTTTTCATAATGATGTTTAAAAGATAATTAAACATGTGATTAGCCAACATTATCAAGTTGTATGAAAAGAATTAATTGATTATGCATGAAATATGATATGAGAGATTATATAAAATGCACATTAGCTTGAAGTGTAAAAGAAGCTCAAATGAGTATTATTGACTTAATTATATGATGATTAAGTTGATGTGAACAAGGCTTGAATTGGCGGTCAACGACAACGTTGACCGATGGATGATGGATTAATTAATATCGGTTGATGTTAGTTAATTATACATTTATTTAAATGCATGGCTTTGCATGGATTGTGATACATAAGATTTATGTATTGGATTAGTTATGAGTAACTAAGGATGATATAGACTCTATCTAGGTTGATAGGAGGTTGATCATAGGAAAACTTGGTGGAGGACCCTAGTACTTAAAAAGTACTTAACACTCAAACTTGGTGGAGGACCCTAGTACTTAAAAGTACTTAACACTCAAAACTTGGTGGAGGACCCTAGTACTTAAAAAGTACTTAACACTCAAACTTGGTGGAGGACCCTAGTACTTAAAAAGTACTTAACACTCAAAACTTGGTGGAGGACCCTAGGACTTAAAGTCCTTAACACTCAAACTTGGTGGAGGACCCTAGTACTTAAAAAGTACTTAACACTCAAAACTTGGTGGAGGACCCTAGGACTTAAAGTCCTTAACACTCAAACTTGGTGGAGGACCCTAGTACTTAAAAGTACTTAACACTCAAAACTTGGTGGAGGACCCTAGGACTTAAAAGTCCTTAACACTCAAACTTGGTGGAGGACCCTAGTACTTAAAAGTACTTAACACTCAAACTTGGTGGAGGACCCTAGGACTTATGAGTCCTTAACACTCACAAACCGGTGGAGTATCCAAGGATTATGATCCTAAAACTCATAGATTGTGATATACAAGTAGGGACAAGGAGGAGTCCTATACACTCATAGGTATATGGGTGGGTTGGGGTTTTTAGTCAAGAATATTGACTATTACTATTTTCCCGAATAAAATGGTGATCTACGGATCGGATATTTTCCAAGTATATATATACTAATAAGTATTTCATAACTTGGGGGAAAGATTATTTATTTAAGTATCACCCTATGTTTGGGTCTTATACTTGAAACGCTAGTTATTCTATATTTAGCCTGCTACTCGCTCGGTACTTGTACTGACCCCTTCGGGGGGCCCCACCATTTTCAGGTTGAAGCTAGAGCTTGCTACTTGCACCTTCTCACGGGTGATATCAAACCAGGGAGACGTGGTTCGTGCTTCCTTATTTTCTTTCAAACTACCGAACACTTGCTCATGGATATTTGTTTTACTACAAACTATTTTTGGGGCTTGCATGCCCATGTTGTCGGCCGGTTGTGGCCCATGACTTACCGTTGAATATTTCCGCTATTCATTGGTTTAATGTGATGTTGTTATGTATGTTTACTACTGAGTATGGATGGATTGTTTTCTCGAACGCCTTGTGTAATTAAGTGAGGTTGACCCGTGGGTGACGTCACTTAGTTATACGGCGGTTGTACACGCGCTTGGATTGCGGTCTGGGGCGTGACAGACGTAGCTAGGGGGGAAACTTTGGCCCCGACCCACTCGAATTTTCAATTTTCATTAAATTTTTAGTAGAAAAATTGTATAAAAAATTCTCAAAATAATCTTTGTACCGGTTCATCACAATATAACGTCATGCCTGTGTCACTGACTTGTACTAAAGCACAGAAAGACTATTTCCGGATGACTCAAGATGAAAATCACGTCAAAATATAAATGCTTTGAGTGTTGTTTCATAACAAAGAAACGCAAACACTATAATGTGTCATTTTGCTTTATTCCGTCATATTCCCAAACCCAAAAATAGTGAATATATGGGTCCATTAGAAGTGATAGGAATCCAAAAACAATTTACTAAATTTTCTTATTTTGTCGTCTAGAAAAGGTTTGTCATTTCATTTTAAAGTTAAAAATTGTGGTCCAACTCCCCAAAAATAGAAGATAAGGTAGGAGTTCATATCCTTCTCTCATTTGTTGAGTGGCTCATATAGAAGAGAGAGAGAGATCGAGAGAGAGAGAGAGTTTCATACGATCAAGAAGAAAAGAGGAGCAACAAGGGGAGATTTGGGGAAGAAGAAAGCTAAATTCTAGATAACCAAAATGTTATCCCCGACCATTCTAGTTATTTACTATATTTAATTTATATGATTTTGAAGAAATCATATGTTGGATTAATGAGGACGTTCTACACGTATAAAAGTGTAGAAAATTGATATAAAGTGTTGATATTAAATTAAGAAGAGACGTTGAATCGATAGAAGTTGAAATCACCAAAAAAGTATCATTGAAGGAGGTTGTTTCATGTTCTAGGTAGGGTCGGTAAGCCGTCCCCGGCTTTTGGAGGAAGCTGCCCGACTTTTGCTCACTCCCTAAGAGCTTCATTTTGGATCATCCTCGATTGGGGTTTTAATTTTGGGGCTTGAATACTAAAACTTTACCGGACATAGTTAAGGTGAGAATGACTGAATATATTTATGATAATTAGTGAGTTGAGCATGAGATCAGATCACTTTAGTAATCAAAATATGATTTTGATATATTTAAATGGTATAAGTGCATGTGGAGAATGTGTAATTGATATATGATCATCAGAAATGACAAATAGATGTATAAATGTGAATGAACCATGAGACTATGTATGAAGGGAGAAATCCTTGAGATGTTTTGATAATTGAATTGATATGAATCTTTGAGATCACTTATGAATTGAATCTTTGAGATATGTATGTATAGGGAATGAGACACGATACTATGATCATGCTCAATTGAAATGATGAAGGCATCTTAGTTGCCTAGTTGGTATGTCGATAACTTGGGTAGTACACTCTTGATGAAGACTAGCCCGGGGTTATATGATATTCATACATGATGGTATGTTTTATTCTAATAATTGATCCCATATTCAAATGATGATATAGATGATGTTATGGTACGCGAGGCGTGGAACCTCTAGAGGGTATATGTATATAGGACTCAAGGTGTGGAGCCTTTAGATGATGCTCTTATATAGGACGCAAGGTGTGGAATCTTAGATCATATTCGTATATAGTACGCAAGGTGTGAAACCTTACATGCAGTTTTATATAGGACGCAAGGTGTGGAGCCTTTAGATGATATTCTTATATAGGACACAAGGTGTGGAACCATACATGATATTCTTATATGAGACGCAAGGTGTGGAACCTTAAATGATATTCATTTGTGAGCGTAGGGGGTAGCACGGGTCGGGTTTGACGGGTCGGGTGTGCGGACCATAATACCATTCGGATCTTATAATGTAAATATTGAATCCTACCCTTTGATTTGGAATGTTAATCATTTCGGATATTAGAATATCGAGTTTCTTCGAATATCGGATCAGATTTCGGTTAAGTCGGTTAATTATATTAAAAACACATTGAAATTGGATAATTACAATCTAAACAGTTATAAAATTATAAAGAGAGCAAAGCTACAATGTTACAACTTACATATTACAATGACAATTTGACAAGTATTTGTAACATATTAAGTTACAAGCATAACAAAATGACAAAGTAATTGAGTTATAACTTACAAACCAAGTACAAAATGAGTAAGTATTAAAAAATAGAAAGTGAATGGAATTCCATAAATAACATCTCCCAAAATAGTTCATGAGCTCAGAATTCCAATAGCTTTTGGCTTTAATCCTGCACATATAAGGGTAAGGAGTTACAATATTATCTTTGCATTAACAAATAACATAAATTCATAATCACAATTCACAAAGTTCATAAAATGTTTTTCTAATTGCTTCTTCTCAAATTCATAATAGATTGGAGGTATCCAAAATATTTAGTACTGGCTTCAAGTTATATAAAGATACACTCTAAAGAGGCCAGATCCAATTTAACAATAATAACTAAATTAAATACCAACTCAAACTTATTTCAGTATATGATGGAAGCTTTCATCATTACCAAAACGGAAGAACTAGTATTACTCAAAACATCACAAGAGGCAAAAGTAAATGAAGAAGCACCCGTATTACTGGAAAACACAGGGGCAACTAAACAAAAACAACCCTTTCCCTTTCCTACTTATTGGTAAAAAATCGCAAGGTTATAATAAATAAGTAAATCATTAAGTTCATTTGTGAAGGATCCACAAAAGATCCATAGGCATGTCCAATAGCAGCATATTTCTCATTGTGAAAAAAGAAAAACATAATGTCACATTTACATATTGCCATAAATATACATTATAGTATATGTAAAAATTAAAATAACATGTTTCCAGCCTTTCCACTTCATCAACATTTTCTTCAACTGAGAGATACTGGTTTTTCATTCTCAACCAATCTTGACTTCTTGAGAACAAGTCAAAGCTTCCACTATTTTAGAGTCAATGAACTTCTAAGACAATCTAAAAATTAACCACTAGTAGTCTAGTACTGTAAGTGGATTCAGAAGCAACAGTGGAGATGAGAACAACAAGAATATCTCTACCCATTTTAGAGATTATAGGAAACTTGTGACTATTTAATTTCCACCATCTTAATATATCAAACTTTTTATCTTCCTCAAGAATAGTCTCACTCAAATAAATTTTGAACTCGTTTTTTCAAGCCCAACTGTCGACTCTCTAGTTTCTATATTTTTAGTTGTGCTTTGAATTTGGAAACCGGTCTTGCAGGCTCAGCCTTACAGATGACTAATACTCCCTCCGTCCCAAGGAGAAGTTCCCGGGTTGACTTTCACACATATTAAGGAAATAAAGTTACTGAGGGGTAAATTTTACTGTTTGGCACTGTTTCGACACTGTCTGACACTGTTTTGCATTGTTTGGCACTGTTTTGATGTAGAATAACTTTCCATTAGAGAAATGGGAACTTTTTGTTGGGACTGCCAAAAAAGGAAAGTGGGAAATTGTCCCTGGGACGGAGGTAGTAATTAAATTAGTAGGAGTTTAGGTTGATTTAGAACTTTCACCAATACTATTTGTGTAACTGGTCACATAATAAGAGCAAATAACTCAGCCATAACAACTTTGGCACTTTCAAAGAATTTCTCACCCTTTTTTGAGTAAACAAAGCATTTAATTGAAAGGGTATGCATTCAAACTTGTCTTAGAGTCTAGAACATTTGCAAAGAATATCAGAAAGTTCGTCTTTTAAGGATCTCCCCACTACTTATCCAATTTTGATTTCATACTATTTCACATGCTACTTGCAGAAGGTATATCTGACTTCACTAAGTCCTGAAGGACCATAAACAAATCAAACACTTATGAGAAGAAAGTATTAGAAGTAAAATAGAGAGAAAGAGAAATCATAAGTGTCATATAATTTGCAGAGTTGTGACCATAGACTTACAAGACGTGGGCTGATGGGTTATTTGATGGCAAATGTTTTGAATACAAATGACCGATGGGTCAACTATTTGACTTGATATGTGTGTGTGTGATATGTATGACTTTAAATTAGGTAGCTAATATGTTATGCCCGTAGTTTATTATCACTTTGTGGTGAGGGTCTTGTATTTGAGATATTGAGTATACACCTTATAGTTATCATTGCACTTTTCAAATGCTTCAAATTAAGTACTGACCTCCCTTTCGGGGGATGCCACCTTACAGTTTCAGATAGAAGCTAAAGTTTGCTTCATGTTCCCGTTTGTTTCAAGTGATCTATGGAGAGAAGATGTGGTTCGTGCTTCTTTCGGTTCTATTTTGATATAAACAGAATGGTGCTCATATAAACTTTTTGAAAGGTAAAACTGTCAATTTGGTCTTCGTACAATATATTACGAAAAAGTCAAGTAGGTCCTCATACTTTAAAAAATAATCAAATTCCCGATCTTTGAAAAAACGTTCAAGTGAGTCAACTATCAAGTTATCCGCCACGTCAACAAGTAACCAGTTGACTTGGAACACACATGATGGTCCACGTGTGCGCCACGTCATCGATAAATGACTGACAAGACTTTACGTGTGCGCCACGTCACGAAAGTCACTTTTGACTGGGTTATCACATGTGTGCCATGTCAACAGGTGACTTGCTGACATGTGGATAACCTGCTAATGGATTCAATTGAACGTTTTCCTAAAAATTGAGGATTTGATTGTTTTTTTAAAGTACATGAACTTAATTGACTTGTTCGTGATAGTCAAGGACCAAATTGACATGCAGTTTTCCCTTTTTGGAACTATAAATGATCGGGAGCCCGTGTGCTCATGTTTGCTCTATGTGGCTTGTAAAATTTTAAAACTGATGAAGTATATTCCCATATACCCCTGGGGTGTTAACATTCATGAACAAAGAGTCTCAAAAACACCAAGTCAATATTCCGCCGAGGCCGAACTCGACCCACCTGAGGTCGGCCCAACATTAGGCCCCTAGATTATCAAGATAGTACCAA